TATCTATCTATCTATCTATCTATCTATCTATCTATCTATCTATCTATCATCTATCTATCTATCTATCTATCTATCTATCTATCTATCTATCTATCTATCTATCATCTACTGGTCTTGTTGTATTTGGGTCTTTTCCCGTGTAAGATTGAGATTGTCTTGGCAACGTTTCGGCGAGGTCTCACTCGCCATCTTCAGGACACCAGCCTGAAATCTACGAAAACACACCAACACAAACACACACATACACACACACACACACATCTCTCTTTCTGTGTGTGTGTGTGTGTGTGTGTGTGTGTAAGTTCCAGCATAACTCTGGAACACCTCGAGCAATTTCAACCAAATTTGGAACAAGATGACTTACTCTCTGGAAAAAAAATACTGTGGGAATAAGACACCCTTAATACCCCTCAGGGTGTGTGTTCTGTTAAGATACAGTCTGTTATGCCTTAAAATGGCTTCTACTGTACAGCACAGTAGAATTGCCATTGTAAAGGCTTCACGGTACTCCACAAGGGGACTCCCTCTGGTAAGGGGGAAAATCCAACATTAGATATTACATTTGGTCCGGACATTTTCCCTTTATAAATAAATACCTGGACAACGCCAGGTTACAAGCTAATTGATAATAAAAGACCTCCTGAAACAGTTTCCTTTACCAGCAACTTTGCCAATGGAAAAAAACTTCAAGAAGAGCAAGATATTGAGTCAGTGGGATGGGAGACCATAAACATGGTTAACATTTAGATTTGTTCTCAATGGGAGGATTTTTTTTAAAAAAAAGAAAGGGCAGAAAGCAACATTATTCATATGTTCCCCTCCTGTTAATCATCTACTAATTGCTTTGGAATTGTCAGGATCATGGTCTGTATGTGTGCTATGGTTAGAAAAAAAATGTTGCTTTAATTTATTCAGTAAGATCTAGAACAACTTTCTTAACTTGTTACTAGGCTTTGATAGATGTTGGCTTTGAGAAGAAATTGTGGGTAATTTTTGCAATGCTCTTGACTGTTTTGGCCAATGGCCATGATATAGCTCAACAAATTGTCAACTTCTCTGCCTAAAAGAATAGCAATATTCATCCATAGGGAGTAAATCTTGGCAGCTTAATAAGGATAGCAAACTACAGCAAACTGCCTGCCACTGAATCTATTTGGTCTTGCACTCAGAGAACAAAGATTGTATTATGCAGTCCAGCTTCTTTAGACATTTTTGCTCCCAGCTGGATTAAAGTGTCTCTGATAGCATCACATGTAGAAGGGACTATAGATTTAAGTCATAGAATCATAGAATTGAAAGGGACCTTGGAGGTCCTTTAGTCAAACCCTTGGCCTAGTTCAGGAATCCTCATAGCAGCCTGGACAATTGGCCATCTAATCTTTTCTTGGAAACCTCCAATGATGGAGAACCCATGACTCCAGGAGCAAGCTGTTCCATTGCCATGTAGCTCTAACTGTTGGGAAATTCCTTCTGATTCCAAATTTGTGTCTCCCTCCATAAAGCTTCCACTCGTTGATTGTAGTCTTAAACCCCCACCCCACGGCAGTAAGGAGAACAAATCTAATTCTCTTTTCTGTGACATCCTTTTATATATTGAAAGACTTCTATCATGTCTCCCCTAACTTTCTCCTCTTTAGGCTAAACATACCAAGTTTCCTTTAGTTGCTCTTCATAGGACTGAACATACAAGCTCCTAATCATCTTTGTCATTCTTCTCCATGCTGTTTCCAGTTCTCGGCACTATTTTTATCAGTGATAAAGACCAGACACAGTAGTTCAGGTGCAGTCTCACCAGTGAAACAGAGAATGGTACTATCACTTCTCACAATCTCGATGAAGCCTAGTGTAGTATTGAGCTTTTTGGAAGCCACAGCTCACTGCTGAATCATGCTGAATCTGTGGTCTATCAAGATATCCGGATCCCTCTTGCAAGTACTGCTGGGTAAGGCACCACTTATCTTGGATCTGTGCCTCTGGGGTGAAGTCTGCAAGAATAATCATGACTCAAACAAAGAGCTAAAGGGCTAATCATCATGGAACTAGAAAAAAGCTACTTTGGAATGGTGTAGAGCTTTTGTTGTACTCATGTAGATTGGTCCTTTGAATTGCGCTGGTGTGAGACTCATAGTTCAGGGGAGGCTAGAAGCCTGGGATATAGAACTAGTTGTTTAGAGAAGACTTGGATTGTCTTCATCCTGTATTCCCTAGAAATGCTTGAGTTAGTTTGTACCTTGACCCTACATTCTTTTGCTTCTTCTCTTATCTCTTGGGCTATTCATAGATCTTGCTTCTGCTTCACACTCTGGCTGGCTGTTTTTTAGCCAGAAGGAAAGTTTAGCAAGTCTGCCTGCCTGCCAAGCATGGTGATGTCTCTGTGCGAACAGGACGAAGCTGACGGTAGTTCAAGTACAAACAAAAAACAATTGGAGGAATTCCCTCACAATGTCTTCCTTTGGGATTTCATCGAAACATGGGAAGCCAGGGATGCTACTGAGATGATTGTAACAATGACTGACAGAAAATTCACACACAGCCCTTGTGACTGACTGCAGGAGCCTCCTATATTACTTTTGAAAATGTTTCTGTGATTTTGTTCCTTCTGAATGAATTTCTACAGCTAATTGAATTAACATTAAAAAATGTAGAAGAATTTCTCTGCCTAGCATTACTCTTGGCTATTCAAACATCCACATCAGTCTTCTGGTATCTTTAAGTGATCTTGTTTATAGATAAAGTTGCTTTAAAACAAAAAGATTTTCAACCAGACAATTCTTGCCTTCTATGATTCGTTGGCACTTTTTAGTAATAACAGTAGCAATCACACTTAGATTTATATACTGGTTCCCATTGCTTTACAGCCCTCTCTAAGCGGTTTACAATGTCAGCATATTGTCCCCAACAATCTGGGTCCTCATTTTACCGACCTTGGATGGATGGAAGGCTGACTCAAGCTTGAGCTTCTCAGGATCGAACTCCTGGCAGTGGGCAGAGTTAGACTGCAATACTGCATTGTAACACTGCACTGTCGGTGCTCTTGTAACTATAGAATATTTTGAATAAGGGAATCTACATAAGCAGCAAAAGGTTGAATGCTGAAAATTAGAAAAGCTAAACAGTATTTACAGTTTTAGAATATGAATAGTGTTTAGGCATTTACCTTGTTTGTGGTTGCTTTCACTGCAAACATTTCCATCCTATGATCCACATTCTATTGGAAATCTACAAATATAGGGCAAACATTTTGAAGCATGAAAAGTTAGAATTACAGTATTACATTGAAACACCGAAATCTCAGAAGCTTAGGGAATCTAAAGAAATCATTACTATTTTAAAAATCAACTTAATTTTGAAGTTTTATGGATGTCAACTGTGCTTGTGCTTCTGTGGGTTTCATATTATGAACCCATTTATTTCTTTGCTTTGTATAGTTGGACATTTATCCTTGAATGGCAACAAATTAAAAACAATGCAAGTGTAAACAAAACAAAAAACACATAGCATCTGAAGCAGCACAGATATCCACATCAATGAATCCTAAAAATGAATTTAGTTCATTCCTGGCCTAGTGCTCAGGAAAAAGCCTGTTTTTAATCTGTATGAAAATCCATGTTGGTGTTATGGATGATCTACCTAAAGGTGGAGTTTGAGGGGGGAAATCCATCAGCTTATAAGTTTGTAGGTTAAAAAAAAATTACTTCAAGCTCAGTTCAGCTTCCAATGTCTTCATGGATGTACTTTGACAACAAATGGTTGTCAAATTTTCATTGCTGCCTTTTGGAATGCTTTTTCAACTCCCCAGCCTAGTTCTTATTCATACCCTGTTTCCTCAAAAATAAGACCTCCCCAGATAATAAGCCCAATTGGGCTTTTGAGCATATGTGCTAAAATAAGCCTTCCCCAAAAATAAGACCTCCCCCAAAATATTGCAACACAGCAGCAGCCATGAGATGACCACGCTTACTGCCTCCTGCACCTCAAAAATAATAAGACCTCTCCAAAAATAAGGCCAAGCGCTTATTTTGGAGGTCAAAAGAAAATAAGACCCTGTCTTATTTTTGGGGAAATACTGTAATATTCCGTAGAACTCTCCCATCAAAATACTTTCCAAGCATGACCTGTTTAGTTTCCAAACCCAGGAAAGGGAAAAGTTATATACCAGCAATGTACAGTACTTAGTAGTATCAACCAGCTGTTTTCTAAAATTCTTCAACGCTCCTTACTTTTTTTTTATTCTCTAAAGAAGCTGTATAAATAACCAGAGTTTTTAAATTGTTCAGTCTTCAAGTCGTTATATGTTAACATCGGTTGATTTTGTAAAATTGAAATCAGGGGATCCCTAATTATATGTTGTATAAAATTCTGAATCGTACAGATTTTTTAGGAAGAAAAAAAAATCACATTTAGAGAGAATTATAATAATTTAGCATGGGAATGTGGATGCTTCGACTTAGTAGACAGTAAGCATTTCTTTTCCATTTCCTTGGCAGATTGAAAATGCTGGTGAAGTCCTAATCACACCTCTGGAGAAATTTCGAAAAGAGCAAATTGGTGCTGCTAAGGTAGGTGGAAAAATTGATAATGTTTTCTTGTCTCTTTGAAGGAGATTTGAAAAATACACTTAAAGTATTATTTGGAAGATCTGCAGGAATCAGTATAACATGGGCAGCAGTTGCTTTTTCTGTCAGATACTAAATAACTTTTCTTGGCAACCCTCTTCTAGACTTGTTCAACAGCAATCAAAAGAGGAGTGTCTGATGGTTTTCTTGCATATTTTAATTGAGACAGTTATTGCAATTGAACAATTGTATGTAGTATATAGATGGTAATAAGTGTTAAAAATATTTTGATGCACCAGATCTGGTTATGATTGGGGAAAAAAACATCAGAAAACAAAAACCTAGCTAGTCAAGCATTTTGTTCTCATGTTAGGCAAACCAAATGCTTATCAGAAGTTTGTGACTATAGAATTAATGAAGTTAATGTATCAACAAAAGCATTCAAGGATATGCAATTGGAGAGTATCAACCTACTTCTATTTTCCATATATTAGGTGAATATCAGAAAAGGATTATAGGTGAAAATCAAAGGAATATAAGCATGTTTGTGGGAAGGGTATATGTTTCCGCTGCCAAGGCAAGGAGTGGCACATCACATACAGGTAGTCCTCAACTTATGACCTGAGTTGGGCTCAAAATTTCAGATTAGCAGCAAGACAGTTGTTAAAGTGAAATACTGTTCCATTTTATGATCTTCCTTCCCACAGTTGTTAAGTGAAATACTGCAGTTATTAAGTAACACAATTGCTACATGAATCTGGCTTCCCCATTGACTTTGCTTGTCAGAAGGTCACCAAAGGTGATCACATGACCTTGGGATAATGCAATTATGACAAACACAATCCAGTTGCCAGCCATGTGAATTTTGATCAAGTGACCTTGGGGATGTTGTATGTTGGAAAACTAGTCATAACTCATTTCAGTACCATTGTAACTTTAAATGGTTACTAAATGAATGGTTGTAAGTTGAAGACTACCTGTAGTAGCTTTGGAACTAGAGAGATTTCTCATTTTCACCACAACTCTGAACCAGACAGCAAAGCACTGACTTCATTTGTTGTCACTGTTATCATACAGCTAAATTGGTTTGGCTGTTTAGTATAAAGAAGTCATCATATTCTCAGATTCCCAACAGAGGTAAGAAGAAATCTGTGTCACATCCAGTGGCATCATAACATCCACAGAATTGCACAAGTCTGCAAAGAGTATTAGGAAAACTAGTGTCCATTCTTACTAGAAGAGTTTTCTAACCTGGAATTCCCCCTCCTTTTTAAATAATAAAATGATGATGATGATGATGATGATGATGATGATGATAATTCAGTAGCTCAAATGATCCATTGGAATTTGTGCAAAAATTATAATATTAAAACAGCAACAAACTGGTGGGAACATCAGCCTGAAAAAGTCACTGAAAATCAGATAGCCAAGATCTTGTGGGATTTCCGTATACAAACAGACAAAATACTGGCGCATAATACACTAGACATCACACTGGTTGAGAAAAATAAGGTCACAATCATAGACATCACAATACCAGGTGATAGCAGGGTCACCGAGAAGGAACATGAAAAAATAGCAAAATACCAGGACTTAAAAATTGAAATTCAATTACTATGGCACAAACCAGCAGTGGTAATTCCAGCGGTAATTGGCACACTGGGTGCTATTCCAAAAG